TAAACTTCTACATATTTGATCAGGCCAGATTTTAAGGCCTGTTCTGCCTCAAAGATGAAAAGATCCAGCTTTAAAAAAAAAACCAGAGGGTGTGTTCTGTATTTTAGATCGTGCATTCTGCAGCTCACTATAGTCCAGATGTTTTCACTGTAACCCAGATGCTGTCCTACCTGTCTTGATGGCGTATTTAAGTGTGGCTCGGCAGCTGATCAGGATGTCGTCCAGAGTCGCAGGCTCGCCCTGCAGCTCCCAGTTGTTCATCTGCAGCAGCTCGTTGGGATAATGGAAGTCGATCACTTTCGTTTCCCGGTCGAACGACTCCACGATGTAGGCCAGTAAAATATCCACCACCTCCTGCAGGAAGGTCATCGTCTTGGTGTCCCCGTCCATGGCAGGTAACAGGTCTGAATGAATACAGAATAAATAAATAATAAAACATCTGCTAGGGGAGACATTTTGTAATTCGTGCTTCTGCGATTCCAGATGTGACTGAGTGATTTTATTTTTTCATGCATGTGTGTTCAGGCCTTAAAATGGCGACACAAGGTGAATTTTATTTTGAAATCCTCCTGCAGGCCAACAACCTTAGAGAAAAAACATGTTGTTATAATTAAACAGTTGTTGCAGAACGGTTTTCTGCCTTTTGAACGAAGCTCAGATCAGATTCTGCTGAAGGTGACCTCTCTGAAATCTAGTCCACCGCTCAGACATTCAACAATATCTTGCAAATATAAAATCTGGATATCTGTTTTATTATTTCATGCGTAAAATCACATGTTTAGTCAGTTGATTATATCTAATTTTCCATGCAGGCCTAAACAATGTATTTCAATACAATAATAATAGTTATTATGTTTTATTAAAGGGCAGGATATTTGCAAAATGCATACACTTCCAGATGTTCCAGTTTTTTTAAAATTCATTTCAGAAGAATAACAATAAGAAAGGATTTGTGGTGTTTTACTGTGACACTGGGTGAATGCAGCTCGTCCATGCAGGACCATGCATGTGTTGTGTTGTGTGTGTGTTTGTGTACCTGTTGAATATAGGTCGGAGAAGCCCACGGCAGCTTTGGTGCAGTTGCAGGATTTGTTGCAGCCGCAGTCGCCTGTAGTCGCCTCCGGCGGCTGCTTGGCGGAGCCGGGCTCGGCGGCTTTCTCCACCTCCCCGACATTGAGCAGCGCTTTGCCAAACCACAAAAACACACATGTTCGTATTATCCTGCGAACCAGCGTGTGGATATAATGCTGGAAATAAGAGGCTCGAATCCGCTACACATGCACATTAATCCCTGCACGACCTACCACATAGTTTCGATCCAAGTCCTCCGGATAATTTCTGGGCCGCCGCTTGGCACCAAGCCCTGGCTGCAAGATAAGGAGGGACAGATTAAATAAGCATGAGCAGTGCGTGTATCAGTCCAACTTTAAGATGGATGAAACGCACAAAAGGCGCCATGCAACTTGGAATAAAACCACCCAGTGTGAATACAACAGGCCTGCAGGTCTAACGCACTGGAATGAATTGTGCTGCATGCGCCTGGATCCAGAGGTTTTGGTTTGAAGACAATAAAAAAGAGCCACTCACGCGTACTGGGGCTCTGACTCCCGGTGTTGGCCCCCGCATTATCTCCACCAAGAGACCAGAAACCGTGTGATGCCATCGTTACCGGTAGTTAGGAGCTGAAGAGACCGACAGAGCCCATCCACACGCGTCGAGCGGCGGCTGAATGTGGTCAGAGCACCGACTGCTCACGGTGCAACCGAGCATCCGACTCACGCGTTATGATGATGAGGAAACACTAAAAAAAAATTAAACCACGGTGTTTATGTGTGAAAAACAAAAATGATCTTGGAGCTGGATGTTTTTTTCGTTTGGTCCACAGGTGCACGGAGCGTTGTGTTCCCACAGAAATCCGCAAAACACTTGACTTCACCGGCGCGCAATGTCAGCGCCTCCTGCACGCACAGCGCAGCCACTTCACGGAATAAAAAAAAATCAAAATCAAAAAACGTTAATTGAAAAGAATGAATATTGCAAGATAGTCAGAGCAAGTTCAAGGTGCAAAAAAATCTACTCTGAAATTTCTGCGGTTGGTGGAAACGTGCGTAAAATTTAAAAAAAAGCACAAAAAACCAGGAGATGGTGCAGAAACGTGGATTTAAAAAAGCAGCGATAATGTTCAGCTGCTGGTGAAACACGCAGCGCCTATAAAACCATGTCTAATTGCATCCAACCTAAATTTCACGTCACTAAAGAAATCCCATCGTGATTCTCTTCAGGTCATGATGACGAGCCGCGTTGCGTCGCACGTCGTGACTCCGCACAGCAGCTCCATCCCCGACACTCTGTCCCCTGCGCGCTGAACTTACCCTCCATGCAGACACCGAATGACAACTAATTCATCCGCCCGGCGATCGCACGGCTTATTTCGCGGGGACCGGCAGCTCGGACTGCCCGCCTCCGGCTTGATGGAAGCAGCGGAGCGGCGAGAAGACGCGGCTCAGACGCGTAAAGTGCGCACGGTGTCCCTCCTCTCTGCAATTCTCTGAGACGGGCGCGTCATTCCAAAAGTATCTTATTACCCAGGACTTGTTTTACGCACTGTAGCCTCACTCCAAGAAGAAGAAGAATACACACGTGTTTTTATTGTTGCACCAATTATTTCATTATAATTACGGATACTGGTTTATTTTAGATGAAGCAAACAAAGAAAGAAAAACAAACCAATACTTTAAATAGTGTCACAACCTAATTACACAGATTACTCGTTACAATCCACCACTGTCACCTCCTGCACTGTTTTTTTTATTCTGCATGAATGAGAGCAAGTGCAGCCTCCAGGCATCAGAACTACACAGAGTCACATCTGTTATGATTCATGGAGGCAATCACCAACAACCATCTAATGCCAAAAAGAATGATTACGATAAAGTGACCCCTCTGGCAAAGCCATGATAATCTGTGTGTACATCTATGATTCTTTAAAGTGGGGTTATAGCATCAAATTATCCCTGTGTTTTAATATTTGCATTGCAGACTTAATGTTTTGTGCATAAGAAGGTGTATTTTTTTATTCTTAGGAATCATCCGTGGAAACAACAATCTGTTCAGCTTTTCAGGGTCATAATAAAACTGGATCATCAGTGGTCTTTGTGTGAGTTCCAGGATGTTTGTGGTTGTGTGTGTAGTTTTTGTGTCAGTGTTTTGTCTGGGACTCACTCACACCCCCTGAGGGAGCCTCTCTCTTTTCAAATGTCACGTAAAGGTCAAAGTTTGTATCTCAAGGAAAATGTTAAGTGAATATGAAAGAGGATTTTTACTCAACTGGTTTGGTAAACACGACACAGATGAAGAGGATGCACAGCAAATTACCACTTCAAAATAATCTCACTTTACACGGTGGATGTGATAAATATGAGATCAATTAAACACGACAAGGAATTTGAAAATATTTTATTTTTAAATGGAAAAACCAGATGATTGCAGCCGACAGAAGAATTCACATTTCTTACAGCACGACGACACCGAAGCCGATTTTCCAAAGATACATTCATGAAAAAACGGTGAAAGTGTTAAGAGCAGGATTCTGCATATTTACATGATCTACAGTATGGACATTATATAAAATGACATCTGATGTTTAAATAAACACACACGGTTTTTGACAAGCAAAGAAAGAAAATTAATAAAAGAAAAGTTTACAAATGACACAAATAAAAGCATCATTCCCTGAAAGTTTAAACAGTAAAATGTTATTATATATATTTTCCTTGAAAACCTCTGTCGTGCTGAATTGAACAGGCAGTGACTGTGAGGAATCAGATCCTCGGGATATTTTGTTAAAACTGTGTACCATGGATGCGTCTGATGCTTCACGACAAACGGGTAAAAAAAAAGGTTCCGTCCTGCGTTCAGTACCGTTTGATGAGCCTTCGTCTCTGAGAGGTCTTCCTCAGCAGATGTCTGAAGTCGTACGGGTTGTCCTCGACCCGACTGTCTGTGGAGGTCGTCCTGTGAAGGGAGCGCCTGTCGACACATCGCAACAGAGAACAGGGAAATTAACCAGAGGACGGAGAGATAAACAGAACCAGAGATTTGAAAGAAAAAGAAGATTCGATTAGTAGAGTTGAGTGGTGACATTAAATTACTTAACGATCATGACAACTTCAGGATCTGTGTAAAAGAGATTTATATATCTGGTGTGCCACACGGTCATGTACTGGGACTCTGGATTTTTTTCTAAAACTGTGTTCCAGAAAATGAGTAATGAATAACGGCACTTTTGTTTCATTCACGTCTAGTTTCACAAAAATTAAGCACCCAATATTGAATTATGTTTTTCTGGAGCAATATAGCAAATATAAAACCACTTCTCGATTGTACCGGTTGTCTTTGGCAAGTTTGGAAGGCTCTGGTTCAGTGACGGCTCGCTCTCTGGTCGGTCTCCCGGCAGCAGCTGGTCTCAGCTCTGCAGGCTGCCTCCTGTCCGAGGAGCGTCTCCTGTCCGAGGAGTGTCTCCTGACCGAGGAGCGTCTCCTGACTGAGGAGCGCCTCCTCTCGGCCATGTTGCTGCTGCTGCTGCTGCTGTTGTTGTTGTGGGACGTGTCCTCTGTGGATATGGAGGGTTCAGACCTGCTGGTGATCAGGCCTCGGTAGTAGCAATCGTCTACATCCAGAAGCTTCCCTGGACTGAAGCACAAACAGGAGATGTATGGATGTTAGGAAGAAGACTTCACATCGTAAATTTAAAACCATTTTTAAATAATGTTTAACCACAGTCTGTGAATATCCAGCACCAATATAAACCTCAAGCTACTTCGATCCTGATTTAGATTTCTGTCCTATTTGTAATGTTTGTACATAAATATTTTTTAATGTTGAATGAAATGCATCACAAACGTCTTCATGACTAATGATCTGTTCTAAAAACAGAGGTGCACGTTACTAAACTACATTCTTTCTTAAATACACATCACTCTCAGGTCACAGGTTAAAAATACAGAGTTTCAGTTTTCTGTGTATTGTTTGAGGAGTGATCTCATGTGTGAGGAGTCAAAACACAGTTGAAGAGACAATGCTGATGTACTTTCATGAAAAAACCCACAAGTTTAGTTTACAGCGACTGAAACTCTGTCTTTACAGAGCAGAAGCAAACCGGCTTTTTAAGACTGGAATCAACCCTGATGTCACACAGCTGAGTTCACAGCTGACACAAACGAAAAGAAAAGAACTCATCAATTAATCAAACTATTTGTTATTAACAAGAAAAACCACAAGCAGAGAAACACATTTTCATTTTCCTACATGTTGTCTTTCAATAAGTAGAATTTTTACATAATATAAAAAAAAATGTTTTTGTCTTAAACTGTTTCAAACTCTGTATAAACTTTGTTTTTAACTCACTTCAATTATAACTTTTAACTGTTTGTGCCGTAGCACTTTTCTTTTTAAATGTTCATGATAGTATTTGCAGTTTCTTTAATCATAATAAATTTACCGTTATCATAAGTATTCTTCTTTATATTTTATTATTCAGAATTTGTTCTTTCTTTTCTAATATTTCCTGTTGTAGAGCTGTTATGAGTTTCTGACGTGGTCCTTAGTATTTCTCTTCTATATAAATTATACTTTTTAGTATTTTAATTATAGTAATAGTATTTATTTATTTATCGGTATGATTTATTAACATCCTGGAGCCACTGTGTTTTACTGAGGTTTTTCTTTATAGCGACCTAACATGGCAGATAATGGCTTTACTTTAATGAGGGAATTATTGTTTTTTTTAATTTGAGTCAATATTTATGCAGCTTTAATCTAATTTACACCAAATCTCTCCAGCAAAGACTAAAAACATTGAGGAATCGAATCATGCAATGTTTAAAGTATTACAGAATTTATTTAATCCAACATTAAAGGAACTGAAGCAACAATTAAAAGGAGTTTTTCCTGATCTTAACTAACTTTTCCTCCTCCTGGAGCTTGGTCTCACTTTGTCTTCTCAGTTTTCACACTGTAGTAATTTAAAATAGATTCAAATATCATCGTTTGATTTAAATTTCTTTAAAGTTTGCAGGTTCAGAGGAGACACCTGAGACCAGTTGTGTTGATTGCAGTAGGTGTGGCCTATATAAACCCAGAGGGTCAGTCTGCTCCGTAACTCACCTCCTGAAGGCTGCTGGGTTTTTAGCTCTGAACAAAACACAGCTCTGGGTTCAGTGTTGTTTGTCTGTTTTTTGTGTTTCCTCTCATTCACAAGCTTGTGTTTGAAGTTTCATGTGCTTTAAAAGTTTCCCTGGATGATATTAATGTTGAAATGAGTTGATGAAATGTTTGTTTGAGACACTTTCTGGAGGAGGACAGAGAGGTCGATGGAACCTCTCAGCGGCTGAGCCTTCGCTCTGACCTCCATGTGAACAGGAGGGAGAAAAGAATATTTTCCATGTGGAGGTCAATGAGTCTCACACATAATAATAATAATACGCTGTCGGAACTCAGTCTCTTAATGAGTCCGGAGCTGCAGCTTCACTGACGCGTTTAAAAGCTGAAGATCTCACACTGATGTTTGAGGCCTCGACTTTTCTGATCTTAGAAACACAGTCGTCCTGTAGATGAATGTGATGACATAAAAAAATGTCTCTGTGACCGGAATCATCAAGTGTAGCTGGACAAAGGGTCCCTGACAGTTTAGAGCCATGCTAATGACATGACGTTAGGGATGGTCCAACTCTCTTGTCTGGACCGAATCTCCTAACAATTTATTGGAGCCATGAATTTCATTTTAAACATTAAAGCTGCAATTTTTGAAAACAGAGATGGAGAAAAAGCATGAAATTAGCATTTGCTAATCTATAGTCGCACATTTCTCGTTTCTTGTCTATTTAGCTTCGGTTCGGGCACCAGGGGACGAGTCGTGCCCCCGACACAGCAGCTGAAAAACAGGCTGTTTGCGGAGCCAGTTCATCCTCGGTTCACTGCTCCTGTTAACTACCTTCCTCCGCTTATTTCCAACAAACCAGGGAACACGAAACACTTTGCTCCCTGTTGAATTTTTTTGTTATCAGAATGACTTTTACTCACGGTGCTTTAAATGGCAAATATAAAAAGCATCATGAGCTGAATCACTATTGTTACAGCGAGTAGAAGAAAAACCCACATGAAAGCGATGATATCTTCGATATTGGCTTTAAAATGGAGACGTCTATGTTGCTTCTGTACGTCTTTACTCCCGTTACCTCATTACCTCTGTCTACTCTCTGGTGTTCACTCCTCACCACCCACGTGTTCCCATCTCCCGTCCTCCTCTGCTGTCAGCTTCAGCCAGAGATGCCATCTTTCCCGCTGACCTTCTCGTCCTTAATGATGCATGTAAACTGCTCCTGTCCATCGCCGGCCTTATTTATCTGCTAACACATTATTACCCTTGATGTTCAGCGCTTTGTTGGACTGTGTGTGTGTGTGTGTGTGTGTGAAGATATATGTGTGCGTCTCTTCAGAGAGCAGTGATAAAGCACAATGCTTGTTCAGGCAGCCCTATCACTCCATCATCAGCATGCTGGGGGTGGTATTCTCACCTTGTGGCCTGTATATGCACATACATGCACACACACACTTTCTACCATCTCCTTTTTAAATGTTTGCATCTATACTCTGGAATACCACCGTGCTAAATTTCATTGGGCATATTCCCCTGAATGTATCTGAGGAGAAAGATGAGGCCGGTTGATTTCACTCAGTGTGTAAAGCTGCACGTCATTAAGTCCGGAACCAGACATCGTCCTTGTTGTGTTGGCGCCGGGCTGCGGTCGTAGCTGTGGACCAGCCTCTTTAAAAACTCTGGTGATGAGTCATTAACGTCAGGTTGAAACATGGACACTTACTCTTCTTTCCTGGGCTTGCGTCTGTCATCCTTGACGGAGCGCTGGAAGCAGAGGCAGAGGGCAGATTGTCAAAAATCAATAGATCATTAATATATAAATATATATATATATATTCAGACTTGAGGAATCATTGTTTTAAAAGTTTTGTTTTGTGAGTTATTCACCTCTCAATCAATAATAATGCACTTTAGATCTACTTATTTATTTAATTTACAATGGATCCATCAAGTCCTGGCTTAAAAAATGTTTTGATGACTTATTTTTTTTCATTAAAAGACAGAAATGTTTTATTATTAAAGATTCTTTTCCACGTGTTAAATGCCTGACGCTTATATTCTTTGATGAAATTATTGATTAGATGTATTATGTCTATAGAAAATAATTTTATCCTCTTTGTGCTGAGCTATTCTTCACTGAAATTATGAATAACACAAATATTTATGTCGGGGGACACTGAACAAAAAGAAACGGACTCTACATGAAAATTACACGTCACTGTTGCAGATCCTTTTTCAACCAAACTTTGTAAAAGACATCGTCCGACAGAAAAGGAAAAACTCAATAGAGCATTTTGAAAACAGGTGGTGGAGCGGTGACTGTGTCACGTGACGAGCCTTCGCTGGGACGATTGTGTGAAATCGTTCAGCGTCTCACTCACATGAATCAGGTTGTAGTAGGTGGAGTCCTCTGGCGTGTTCAGGGTCTTCGGCTGCTGCGTCCTGCGGGGGGTCCGCAACAACATCTTCTGAGCTGAAAGGGACAAAGAACATTTATAAAAAAAAACCATCAGATGCAGTAAACTGTTGCACAGTTGGTCCAGTCCAGTGTGGAGTCACGTTCCCTCGTGTCTTCATGGTGTCAACTGTTCTTGTCTGTCACACAACATGAACATTTTACATCTCGGTGCATATCTTAGAGTGCTGGGAGTGTGGAGGTGATGGTGAACGAGGGGAGAGCGGGACCTGGTCCCTGGTCGACCTGGATTAACGATGTTGTGATACGTGTTTGGCACCTTTTTATCCGTCAGGTCACCAGGTGCCCAAAGGCAGATTTCTTTCTCTGATTAACATTTTGGAGCAGCGAAACATTTTTAGGTCGTTCAGCCTTAAGGGGAAAAAAACAAACCAATGTTCCACTTAGTGAATAAGTGGACATATGACGAAGACACTTCATCGTCCGTCCATCCATCTGTTCATTATCTATACTGCTTATCTTTTGAGGACATTAACATGAATCCATAACACGTTCATCTACATGGAGAAAGTTTCCAAAAATGTGCAGTATGAGTGGCGTTCAGGGCTTTGACGAACAGAGGGACAAAAGAGTTGTGAACATTGACCATCAGGCTCAGTTGGTTCGAGTGGCTCATACACACGTCACACACGCAAATCGATGCACACGGCCGACTGGGTTACTAAAGTGAGTGTGAACCAACGCTGCCCTTTGACTTTGTTGTGCATATTGAGCCGCCCTCCAATACAGGCTGCGGTTTAACCCTGAGGCCTTTGGCTGCTTTGAATTTTCCAACAGAGATTATGTGGAACAACCTCTGACATGAACAACGTGTGTCGTAACCTTGTGATGATCCATGTTTGGTTTCCGGCGCGGTATTGAACGGAAATTGAGATGTGTCAGCTTTTTTTTTTTTTTCTTTCCGTGCATGAATTTCAATCTCTCACATGATCTCACACGCTCACACAATATCTCTCATTCTTGATGATGCGATTATAAGAATATTACAATGACCTTTGCTTGTTGCTTGATATTAATCACTGTTCACGCGAGGGAGACGCGTAGAAAAACAATCCATCATGTCCCGAAGGTAAAGGAGGTGAAAAGTTTTCTCGAACAACTCAAAGGTCGTTCTGCGTTTGCTCGAACGAGTAAATCCACCTTCACACACCCTCGTGTTAATTCCTGCCATAATTGTTGGAGAGCGCTCGCTCACAAAACGTGATTAACATGCGATGACCTTCGCCATGAAGAACATTGTGAGTGGCGTTCCTCTGCGTTCGCCGTCCGTGCCACAAATGATTCTGATGAGGGTTTATTACGTCAGTGAAATTCACGAGGACAGCTCAGGACTATCGACGGACAAACGACCTAGTGGGGCTGAGAAGCACCATTTTATACGGGGATGTATTGGCCCTCGGAAATAACACAGATAATTCATTCTGCTTCACCTCAGGCCACGTGCTGCGCTCGGGAAAAGACTGTCAAGGGCAAACATGCTCCTTTTGTGGTTTATACGCTTAAAGCTCTTTACATTAAACTATACTTAATTTTTCACTAAGCAAGGCTAGCTGTTTCCATCTGTTTCCAGTCTTTATGCTAAGATAACAGCCTGGCTCTGCATCAACGTATTCATCTTGATCTCATTTTATTTCCCACAACCTCAAACTGCTGTTTTCCTCATGTTCATCATGTTTATGGATTATGAAAAATAATATATATTTAAAGTGTTGACAACTTTTAAAAATGTGATGATAAATATCACAAACTCCGTTAAGTCATCTTAAGACGAGCAAAACGGAAAAGGAAGCAAAAAATACAGAAATTCCCATTTTTGAAACAGTGGCTGCTGTTAAAAGTTGCATCTGTTTTTAATTCAGGCGACTGTAACAAAAAAAAATGCATTTAAAATAATTATTATATAAAAATGTCCTTTGAACACACAACTTCCTGTAATAAAACTCAAAGCCACTAAGAATCAAATTGTGGATTCATCATGATGTCATGACGTTATTAGATTTTTTCACTGTTTCCCCGAGACACCTCGACGGTGACATTTCAGCAGTCGTCCTCGTTTTCTCTGAGATGCTGAACTTTCAATTTACTGTCTCCCCCCCTGCTCCCCTCCTCCACAAAGCAATTACACCTATCAGCAGTGCAAATCAGATTTTACATTTGATGACACATCAGATGGTGCGTATGTCGGCCTTCAGGTTTTGGCACTTGACTTTCCCAGGTTTCCTGAGCTAATCGAGACGCACGGGAGAGAGAGAATAACTACATCCTCTACTTCTACTGTGAGAAGATTGTAATAACTTTACCTTTAATTTCCATATAATACTGAATAAAGGCAGATGAAATGTAAAGCTTTCTTTGATTGCTAGTTTTGCAGGAAACTGTTGGTGTGACTCGTGTGGGTGAAAGTATCCGAAGGATCCACAGACTTAAAGAACGATCCTCCTCAGACAGGCGGTCAATCTTTCTTAATTATCTGATGATTCCATTTTTCAACAACGGAGCCAAACCTGCACATTACCCTCGGGTTAATCCACGCTGACATCCATGCGTGATATTCATTGGTTTATAATCTATCTTTGTTGCCGAGCCAATCTCGCTTATCTTACTTGATTGGTGATTCTGGGGAGCGAAGCCATTGATTGCTTTGCCTCTCACAAACATGCCGTTGTTCTCTGGGTTTGATTGATGGGCCTGAATGATCTCGTTCAACTTCTGCTGCAGGGCCACAAAGTCCTGAGACGTTTTTGCGATCTGTTGAAAGAGATGGAACGGAAATAATAACGCGAGAAGATTAGAAGTTAGAGAGGTGACGTGGGAACATGTGGACGTGGAATCACACATTATGTTTCCCCTGTTTTACCGTGATAACGAGTTAATTTCAGTTATCTCATGATGACGAGATAATTAACTTGTTATCTCGAGGTAACAAACCTTTGTTTCCCGAGACAACGGGATAATTAATTTGAGATCACGATCTAATATTTTGTCAATCAATGAATGACGATCCTACGTTAGATTTTGAGTAAAAACGACTTATTCATCCCGTTATCTCAGGAAAACAAAAGTCTTTTATCTCTATAACGACTTCATTATCTCGTTATTAGGAGATAACAACTACCTTAGTAATAATATGTCGTTTTACTGTATATTAAGATGGATGACAAAAGTGAAGCCAAATCATCTTGTTTGCCCCCTAGTGGCAGGTCATAATCTGTCTCATCCATGTTAGCAGATGGAACATGGAATAAAAGTCAACAGAGACGTTAGGTAGGTTTGATTTGAATATGATGCTATTGGGATCGGGAGGATGTGGAGACATATCGTCCATCTTTGTTTTCGGTCTGAGGGTATTACTGCACCTGTTTTGAGAAGCTCTGCAGCTCCTCAGCTTCTCTCTGGGCTGTTTGCTTGTTGGTCTTCAGGTTCTTTCTGTCCTTGTACCCTCTGAAGTTGCTCTGGATCTTCACCGCAGCCTGTTCTTCCTCCATTCGTTCTTTTTCGACATCGCTCTCCTCTCTACGTTCGATCACTATGTCAGTAACGTCCAGGACCACATCCTCGTTCTCCTCCTCCTCTTCTTCCTCCGCTCTCCTCCGTGCGTCTTGCTCTGCTTTCAGTTTCTTTCGGTCTCGATGGCCTCTAAAGTTACTTTGCAGGACAGTCGCAGCCTTTTCCTCGTCCAGTTCCTCCAGGTTCTCAGCAGATGAGTCCAGCTGGGATTCTGGCACCGATTCCTCTGTGTGCTTCAACTCTTCCTCTTCTTCTTTTGGACGTTCGGATGAGATCTCTTCTTTCATCCTTTTCTTTGGGATCTTTCCTTCCTCCTCGAGTCGTTTACGCTCCTTGTGGCCACGGAAGTTGCTCTGAAGCACCACGGCAGCTTTGGCTTCATCCGGGTCGTCTAATGTCAAAGAAACATCTTGAGTTTCTATTGGTTCCTTGTTTTTTTTTTCTTCCACTTCTGCTTCATCGCTGAAGATGTCCTCTGATGTTTGCACGTCTTCCTCAGCTTCAGGGCTGATCAATGTTTGTGCCGCTCCTTCACCAGCTGGGCTTTTCTTCGGTTTCTTAGCTGGGATTTTACCTTCTTCTTGCAACCTTCTCCTCTCTTTGTGACCTCTGAAATTGCTCTGGAGAACAGTCGCCGCCTTGGTTTCCTCCTCTACGTCGACTTCCTCGTCCTCTGCAGCATTTTCCTCTCCGTTCTTGTCCTCTTCCTGCTCTCCTTCTCCAGCATCTGCCACTAGTGCGTCCATGATCACGGCCTCGTCCAATACCTCTGTATGTTCCTCGTCTTCTGGCACCTGTGTGTGATCGCTGTCATCGTTTTCCTCTGCTTCATACGTACTCTCCTCATCCTCGTCATTCTCCTCATGTTTATCTTTTATCTTCTCCCTCTCTCCTTCTTTGCTTGCAGCCACCGTGTTCGGCGGTAACTCTAGCTCAGACCCGGCCATCGTCTGTTTCCTCTCCTTAAACTTTTTCCTCTCTTTGTAGCCTCTGTAGTTGCTCTGGAGAACGACGGCAGCTTTAGCTTCCTCCACTTCGTAGTTTGCTTCAGTTTCTGTATTCGAGTCTTTGGTGCTTTCCTCTGATTCAGTTGCCTGTTCCACCTTTTCCTTCTCCGCTTTCTCTTTGGCTTCCCTTGAAAGAAAATTGTTACATCTTTTAAAAACACATTCAACATCTTTAAGTTTTAGATCGTTGAGTTTTTCGTTTCTCTCACTGTTTTCTTTTGAAGCTTTTCCTTTCTTTATGCCCTCTGTAGCGAGCCTGGATCTTGGTGGCAGCCTTGTTCTTCTCATCCAGCAATTCCTTGTATTTCTTTTTTGCAAGATAGCTTCTGCAAACTGAAGTCGGAGAAAAGAAAAACATGAACTAATATAATTCATAACAAGCTTGGCTAGTGTAGGATAAATAATTGAGTTCAGTTTGTACTCACCAGCCTGAAACTGCACGATGAAGGCCTCAAACTTTGCTTTGTTTTTGTCATCGGCGACCCTCTTACGAACTTTTTGACCTCTGTAAGCTGGAGATTAAAGTATGAATTAGTGCGACTGCTCCAAAGGCTCATTCATATCCAGGACACTGACGAGACGGTGCAGATTACTGACCTGACTGCAGCACCAGAGCGCTCTGTTCTCGCTCTTTTAATATCCGCCGGTACCGCTTGGCTCCCAACCAGCCTCGAATGTAAGCCTGGAGCAGCACGAGTCGCTGTGTGCCCTGCTGCACCATGAGATTCAGATGTTCCACGTGGAAGTACTTAAGAAAAACCTGGGAAGAGACACAACCTCTTTATTGATCATCCTATCACATCATGTCATACTTAAGGTTGAAAAAAAAAAAAGTACTGATTTATTTACTTTCAGATACTGGCCTCTGTGGACTTATAAATCTATTTTCTAAAATCAAATGTAAATATAAATTGCACATCATAACTGGATTGTAGATTGAAGACAAGCTCATATTCAGTATCACTGGAGCTGAACAGAATCTTGAATACTGTTTGTGAGTCTCCTAAACCTCTGGAGTCAAAATCTAGTGAGGTGTTGTGGAGCATGAACCCGGATCCTGTGGTTCAGTCAAACGCTGTGATGGGGATTTAATAACGTTAATAAGAACACATGCAGTTTTATTCCCTCAACCCAAATTAGCAAACACATATAAGCAAATAACAAACGAATTGAGTTAAAATAACTGCTGTACTTACTTTGGTCTTCCCCATTGCCCAGTTCTCCAGCTTTGCCTTCTCCAGTATTGTTGCACAGGTTTCTGGAGTCACCGCTGGCTCCTCATGAGCATGAAATGCCAAAATGTAGTATCTGTAATATCGGTGCAATCAAGGTTCAATTATATACACATTATAATCATGAAGAGTTGTCTTCATATGTGTGATTTTTGTTTTTTAACTTGTTTAAAATCCCTTAAATCGGCTGTTTCCACCACTGAATTCCACCTGCTGACCTCTTTATGAAGTTGGCGAACAGGATGCGGTGGGAGTAACCCTGCCGTCTGATCTTGGCGGTCTCCAGGACCCCGGTGTAACGCAGCTGAACCAGAACCTTTTCTCGGTCGAACTTGTTGGCGTGGCGATCGTTGTTGGGCTTGATGCAGCGCACGAAGTGAGGCTGCCCCGCCACCATCTTGGACAGCAGGTCCATCAGAGAGTACTGCAGTGAGGACGGGAAGAGGGAAGAAAGTTATCAACAATACATCTGTGAAATGTGTGCTATTAAAAAGAAAGAGCAGGATCTTACTCTGAAGTAGGAGGCCACGGTCTGCGTTCTCATGTTGGTTGTTTCCCTCGGGTGGTACGGAACGTCTCCTTGTTCGCCCGCCTGAAAGAACAAACCTTAAATATATCACAAAGCAAATTAAATCATCCTGTACTCTGATCATTCTACTTTCTACTAATGCTTTTATTTACAAGGTGCACTTAAGCTACCAAGGTTTTAGAGCATAAGAGGGCAAAAGAAAGACACTGAACAAAGGTTAATGTAAAGCATTAGCAGCCGTGGTGGCTGCAGCCCACCTTTTTACTCAAAATTAAAATGAAGAAAAACACATTTCAATTAGAATTTTCAAAGCAAATAGGTGTTTTTTTTTTTAAAAAAAATCACCAATCACCATTTGTACTCTGCCATCAAGACGCACATCGAGAAGGCATTGTTTTTCAGGCGTGAGCTTTATTTCCCGCGCAGGCTGCAAAAGAGGCGCATGAAATAGATAAACAAAAACAAAAAAAAAGTACCGAATGAAGTTTATGGTCTGCAACTCGTTTAAATGTCAGAAATATTCACAGTATTTTATCTGAGGAAGACAACACAGAGAGAGCTGTATCAACACAATTATTATTTTAAATTACGGACAGAAGTGCTTAAAGTATCTATTTGGTAACAAGCTCTAAATCTATACACTAAGGGAAACCAGCTTAACAATAAACCATCGTTGTTCGAGCAGCTTCCTCCGAGCGAAACATTCGGATGAGCTCTTTGTCTCATACGCAGATAAATGGAAATAGATTCAGGAACTCATCAAACACAGTTCATTTGAATGTAGCTACTGTCAGTGTGCTTTGAGGTGAGCTAATTACCTCAGGCCTTAACAGCAAGGAACTGCAGTTGTGCACTTCCACATTGTGAACTAATTTATCGAAGTTACTGAAGTTGTGCCATTAATTTGCCAGGAGGCGTTTTTATTTGGCTATTGGCGACTTTAAGAGACTGATCACTGAGTGATTCCGATGCTAAATTTAAAGTTTGAATCATTTCTTTACTGAATAAAACTTTAATACACTACTTAAGTCAGGAGGTCTAATGTGCATAAAACGTATTACCTCCACAAAGGTTATGTTTGATCAGCCTATATTGGTTTTAAGCAGGTGTATGCAAAAATCTACTGGGCCTCCTCAATGTTAGTGGATGGGGCATGGACCAAACTACAAAGTTTACTCAAAAATGGTTTCTTTTCCCTCTTGTGTATGTTCACATGCTTGTTTTAGTTATTTGATGCGATAATAGCTGATGCTATAAAAGCTGGGATGTCATGATTGACAGCTGACACTGACCTGTAATTGGTTGAGTATCAGTGGAATCATGAAACTTCAGAATCTGGCTTCAAATTATGTAAAAGCCTAAGATGTGAATGAATGTAATCAGGACAATTTTGGCTTAATTTTTGTACAAAGGAAGTGGAGAAAGGTTGTCCAAATGTATTCACAGTTTGAGTTGCACACATGCATTCATCGTATACATCGTACATATAAAGCTGTGACTGCTTGAACTAGAAATACCAGCTCTATCTAGAGATCTAGATGTACTGAGGGTATATTACAACACTGAAGCACAAACTACATGGAAATCTTTTGATTACCTCACTGAAACAAAAAGCACTGTATAGGGTTAACACTCCCATCTTTAAAGGCCGAGGTGCAGAGAAAAAGAAAATGACAAGAAAATAAGGTGAGGTTACAGTTTGGTAAAAAGTAGAAAATTAAAATTAGAACTCAGGAAAAGATCTTGTCGGTGGTAGAGATGATAACAATGAATCCAGGTACTTTTTCAGGGGAAATTGTAGAATACAGTGATGATACAGACACTGCTGTAAGTACCTTGGCGAAGGTGATGGTGCGTGTCGGGGTCCGCAGGCTGCTCATCGTGTTTATGCCTTTGCCCTTGGTGTGAGCGAGGTTTCCTGTCAAATAAGCAGAGAAGATGAGGGTCAGTGAGAAACTGCCCTCAACAAGGGAGACCCAGTCCTTCATCCTGAACTCATCTACAGAAACAAAGCCGCTGTGTGTGGAGGCGGCTCAGCAGAACTTAACTATACTATATGTGATATGTACTCATGTGTATCGAGAGGAGTTGATTCTTTAAGAACTTAAATAAAGAGTTCCCTACTCTCTCCTTTTGTGAGTTACTGTTGACTGGGTCACTGAAAACAACCGCACACTGTCGCGCCACGCCAACGCTCAATACTACTTAAAAGAGTGATTATGTGATTATTGGCTTTGCAGTTCGATTTTGACAGAGCTGGCTCGCTGCTCGGCCAAGGAAGGTGCCAAAGCTGCTTATTACAAATGTCCTTTAGAGAAGGGAGGGCAGAGTAACAATAGCCTTTTGTTTTACTTCAAGTACGTATGCTGCCTATAAACCGTTGTCGTAAACAATGTCCGTCCTATTTCTCTTCTGTTGCTTCTTGAAGGTAAAACTATACGCTGGCCTCTACCTGTTTTGGTGAGCGGGTGGGTGACGAGTTTGCGAACCAGCTCGTTGTCTGACGACCGCAGCAGCAGGACGATGTCGGCTGGAAGCGTGTCTCTGTTCTTGGCCAAGAAACCGGCAGCGTTGTAAATCACCTGAGGAAAAAACACACGTTAACTAGCTTCAGTTTCATAAAAACTTATAAAAACATTATTAAGACCAAATGTCCATTACCTTTCCAGCATAGTGGTGGATCCCAAAGCCAAGGTCAACTCTCTTTGGTCTCCAGAAGCTTTTGGTCTTCAGATTATTATCAAATTTCTCTACAATTCCAAGTTGCACATAATTAATTCTCCTCTCAAACATAGTGAATATAGGTTTTGAGACTTTACATTGGAAAACAGATTCCCACTGACCTACGAGGGTCTGGTCAGTGGCTTGTGGGAAGCGACTCTCCTCGTCCAGAAGTGAGAGCATCCCCATGGGCTTCTGCAGGAACAGATCCAGGAGAGGTCGGTTGTCCTCGTACTCGATCATCCGAGCGTCCACCTCCTCATTCAGATATTCATCCTGTACAGTCATGGCAGCCACAAATCATATTTTTTGCAAGGTGATATCCTGGATTTAAAGTTTGTATTGAGGTTATTTGTTCTGTAATTTAACTGTTGAAATTGACCTGGAATATTTTGCAGAAATATCAGGTTTTCCATTATTGTCAGAAAACAAAACTTTGTAGTCTGTGCATATTGGAGGCATCTTACAACATAAATCAGCTTTCCAAACAAAAAACCTAAAGCGCGTTGCCTTGTTGGGTTTTAACAGCCTGTAGTGATAAACTGCTGCTTCCCTATTTTCAGATGACTCTAGTCCAGGGGGCAAAATCAGCGAATCCCTCCACGTTACTGTATCTTGAGCTAACCTGATCACATCAGGCTGACTGACTCTGGCTCACTGCTACAGAGACTCGGTAACATTTCCACATTGAGACTTTTCTGTTCCATGAAGAAAAAGGACAAAGGGGGAAAAACAACATCAACCTGCTTACTGTAGCATGAAATGCACGTTGTGAAGTAAATGAACCACATGAGGAAATCTTTACGGATGGAGATAGAGATAGACAATATATAACAGCACGTATGAAACGTATAGAAAAGGGAGTACAGTCTTTAAAACTGCTTTACTTTATTGCTTATTAATCTTGTGGCACATTACAGTTCCCTTATGCTATATACAGTATATATATATATATATATAATGTTGGCAGTAGAGGACAAATATACTTCTAGGCCTGGTGCCAACAATACCCCAGAGTGAGTTTAAGTCCAACGCTAACTGTCTTCAACTCCTAATTGACCCTCGTTTGGGATGATTTATGGCTCCTCTCCATGGGTGAGACCAAATCATTTAACATTAGCAAACCATTCTCTGTCCTCTCCCCCAAGGCTACGCACCCACAAGGCTGCATACAGGGGACTCTCTCCCGTAAATAAAGAGAGCAGCGTATTTTACCCTTGTCGTCTGTTAAAACACAAGCGGATGACAAATGATGACATGTTATCTCCATTTAGATGGAAATGTAGTAGTTCCAAGGTGAAAAAAAATGCAAACCATAATGCTTTGCACGAGGGATCCGAGCTCTCGGAGTGTTTGATCTTTGATTGCAGCGACGGGTCGGAGGAACTCACCTGTTCCCAAGCGAATATGTGCTGGTTGAAGTAAAACTGGATCTGCTCGTTGGCGATGTTGATGCAGAGCTGCTCGAAAGAGTTCTTCTTGAAGTTCTCGAAACCGAACATGTCCAGGATGCCGATGTTCAGGCCCTTATCATCTTCTCTGTGGGTGAGAGGTATGAAAGTATTATCCCGGCAGAGATAAGACACAATATATGTGGAGCATAATCTCTGTGGCCTTGCTGAAAAATAAATAAAGCAATGTCCAGTTATCACCTCTTGTTGTGTCTACGTTTATCACGAAACTCAGAGGAGAGAAGTGTTATCGTTCCAGGAATAGCTCATTACATTTCAGATCAGGTTTCACGTGATCCAAGAAAAACTTAAAACCATACTCATGCTTCCCACACATACGAGTAAGAAGTATGTGAGATGACCTCATTCTGCGTTCACACACACCATCACACTCTCTCGCTCCTAATCTCACCCTAGGTGGCTGTCGGGGCGCAGCAGCGAGTTAATGCGGTTGACGATCCAGCTGAAGAGGCGGCCGTAGAGAGCCTTGCCCATGGCGTCCCTCACCTCCGCCGCTTTTTCCACCGTGTTGGGCCTGACGATGGTCTCTCCCCGGGCAACGACACAATGGGAGGTCAGGGCTTCTTGCAGCTCGTCTGAGCGGATATGCAGCAGCGAGGCCACTGTGGGGGACACGAGATAAGGTTTTGAAATAGGGATGATAGCTAGGTGGAAAGTGTCCGAGTAATTCATGCATGATGTGCAAACTTTATCTGTCCTCATTCAGAAGAAGATGCTCTGAAATCACGATGAAGTACGGGACTGAAACCACTGTTTATGCTCATTAATGAAATAGATTGATGTCATTTAAACAGCTTTGTAAATTACCGGTCATGAAAAAAGTTTAAATTTAGAAAATTAATGCCGCAGGGGAATCATGTCCTGTGAAATATACCGATTTCAGATGCATGTTGGGTAATAACATCTCTGCAAACTCTGCAGCCCGCACTGATGGATGATTTATTTCAGAACAATAGTTTCCTATATTTAGCTGCACCTGGAGCTCTCTGCAGAGTTAATGGAAAGAAGAAGCAGAGGAGGGGAGGAGAGACGTGGGGGTGCAGGGGAAGTAATTCACAGTCGTGTTTGCTTTTACGTCATCACGACACGGAACTGTGGCCAGGCCCCGCCTCCTCCTCACCGTTCTCCAGGACAGAAATGTTGGAGATGTTGCTCTTGTCAGTTTGATGCTCCGAGGCGACCGGGCAGAACTCGATATCTCCAGAGTTGAGGATGGCGGCCAGGGTGCTGTAAACACTGCCCAGCTCCTGCAGGAACAATAGAGACAGTATAACTCTATAGATACGCCTTCATATGCATTATTGACTTTATATAACAGTAGTACTTGAATATATAACAGTAGTACTTGAATACCTTCCAAGTTAAAGGTGCTTTACAGATACAGCTTTGTTAGCAGTCGCAGGACACAAGAGCCCCTTTTGCTCACGGCACCATAATTTCATTAACAAAAATGTCAACAAAATTCTGTGTAATTTGAAAAACAATCAGGAAATAAAAAAAGTAAAAAATGAACAAGAAGGGGGGAGACTCAATTTGTTTGACAGTCCGAGCACCTGAAAGAAAACCTTCTCTAAGGTTTCAGTTTGTGTTTCACAACTGAGTAGATAAAGTGTCTGAAAGTAATAATCTTCATCTTAGTTTTGTGATTTCATGCGAGACAGGACGTTCTGTAGAAAAGGAGGCTCGTCCTCCAGCAGTGCCGAGCAGCGATTACAGGATAAGTGCTATTGACGTGCAGATCCCAGAGGCAATCATTTCTTTGGGCCTCATTAGTCTTCACAATGCCAACAGCTGACTGCCTCCATGTGCCTGTGGCTTCATTCCTATAATAAGCCATACAGTACACCTTTATACACTGACTGCACACTGGTTTTAAAGCTTATTTGATGTATTTTTATACGCAAACATGTTTTTTTTAAAAGTTACAAACGTATTTTCATACGTGACAGATGCAATACAGATGTGTGAGACACTATGGATGTTAAATCAAGGTTACACTATAATCGTGGACAAGCCAATTTCAGCTTTTCACCCCGTGATCAATGCAGCAGTTTTGTACCTCCAGGGTGAATCCAATGACTTTGAAACACTGCTCCACTGCATCAAACTGCTCCTTGTAGAAGGTGTTGCTCACGATGTCAGGTCCTAATTTAATGTGCTCGTTACACAGATACCTGAAGTGCAAAGAGGAAGCAAAGATCAGGACTGGGGTGCAGGGAGCTGGCAGCGGGAGAGGGGAAATAACAGGGTTACGGAGAAGGGGCCAGGAAACGTCAAACCTACTTAGGTGTTTTGCTGTCAGAGAGCTTGTAGTGGGCGAGTTTCTTCCTGTCAGCCAGGCCGGCGTAGATGTAGTAGAAGATGTGGAAGTTTCTCTCCCCTCTGTCAAAACACACAGGTCAAACTGTCAGTGTGGTTTTGTGAGCATCATATTTATACGAATTGGAGGTTAATTATAATGCTTCATAGAATATCAGTCATATTTTTGATTTGATTAAAAAGCCTTGACTATATTTTGTCACCGTACTGAACAGATGATCTCTAGTTATTCATTTATACCACACAACTATCGGTGCAACTTTTCACCTGATGCCATTCAAACATCTTCTGCTAACGATCCTCCTCACAGATCCGAAAACACGACATCCCTCAGGTAATGAATCATGAACAAATCTTACGAGAATAAATCTTGAACAAACATGGCTCCACCGTGTTTGCTGTCCCCAGCAATTAGTGTCTAACGGGCTGAATAAAAGTGAAGCTGCACACGGAGCTCACAACCAAATCAAACCTTCTCCGACCCGTGTGTCTGTTTTCTAATGAAATACTTGAGTCTCTCTCTGAACTTTAACTGAGACCTGCAGGACCACAATCTTTGATCAAACGGGAAATAAGCTAGTGTCTGCACTTGACCCGCTCCGTTCTGCAGACACATGATAAAAGGAGAAGATGGATCGACTGAAGTGCAGCTGGAAGGTAAATGCCACCAGTCTGATATGGAGAAGCAGAGGTGCAAGAAGGAGACAGTCCATTATGCACTGATCCCTGACCAGCACACCAAAATAACCTTCGTGGCAATGTTCTTTCAGGAAACGACAAAGAGACGTGATTCAAATTCAATTGGAGATTTGTTTGTGGAAAGTTTCTTACATTAGAAAAGGGACAAAAAAGGAGGAGGTGATATTTACACGGCCTGGTGGATGACTCTGGATTTCTCCAGCAGATACTCGGAGATCTGCGCCCCCACCACCGTTCCTCCACAGGTGAACTTCATCTCCAGGTATTTGCCGAAGCGGCTGGAGTTGTCGTTGATGGCGGTGCAGGCGTTTCCAAAAGCCTCCACCAGGCTGTTGACCAGCAGGATCTTCTCCTGGAGCGTCCGATTGTTGGCCTGAATAAAACATTAAACCATCATAAAAACTCAATGTGGTGGGAAGTTATAATTATTTAGTTAGTTTGTGCCTTTCTGTTCAGGTTATTCATATCAAAAGTGACATTGCCATTGGTTTTTTTTATTATTCCACTAATAAAAAAGCAAATTGAAATGGAAGTTGCAAAGCATGACTGGCAGCAGCTGCAGCTTCACACTAACTCATCACAGGAAGTTTAAGAATCCTTGACAATGTATTTGGGGGTGCACAGGCTGCTGCATAGTGATTTTCAAACCCTGGCATTGTTTGTACGTCAGGTAATTCCCTGTGAAAGCTCCACACGAATAATTAATAATAACGATGTGTAAATGAAATGTGGAGCAATTATAACTCACCTTCCCGAGAACAGTCAGCTGCTGCACCAACAGATGAGCGCTCTCTGTTTTCCCTGCTCCGCTCTCGCCACTGATCACAACACACTGCACACAGGAAGTCAGAGACATCCCTGTAACACTAACGCTGACTCCATTACACGAGGTTTAAGGTAAAAGTGAAACTGTAAAAAGAATAAATGAATACTTGTGTGTACCTGGTCTGTGTTGTATGACACCATGGACTGGTAGGCGATATCGGCCACAGCGAAGATGTGTGGTGGGTTCATTGTACGTTTGGCTCCGATGTACATCTTAGTGTCCTGCGAGGAGAAGAGGTTAGACAATGAGACTGAATTTAAAGATGGATGACACAAGTGAATGCAAAGCATCGCAATAGCCCCCTGGTGTCTGGCTGCAGTAAAGGCCATAAACCCTGCCTCCTCCATGTTAGAAGCTGGGACATGGACCAAACTAAACAAAATCAAAAAAACACGACACACATTTTTCCTCGAACATGGTTTCTGCCATTTAAAGTAGTTCTTATTACACTGATGCTTGTTGAAGTGTTTGTATCCAGGATATTTTGGGTTCATTTCTAGATGGTGGGAGAAAGTGAAAACGCGTCGTCCATATACAGTCTATGATTTAAACAGGTACCTGAATGTCACAGACACCAGAATGTAGATACATCGCAATACACACCAACAGAAATATTCACTCAGAACAAACTGTCCTATTATATTTTAGCTCTGGGAGGAGGGGGCTGCAAACTAGCCACAAAATTGAAGCAAAGAAAAACATAATGATTGAGAGGAAAATACAATCAGTGAGGTATGGAAGAGGCAGAGAAACAGGGTGTGTGTGTGGAGGTGAGGCTAAATGGGATGCAGCCAACTGCAGCGCTGCACAGGCCCTAATGAGACACGCTCGGCTACATTCGGTGCATTACTGACCAAATGCAAGAGCACACGTGCATAAAAGAAAACTCACACACACAGAAACACACATGACAGTGAATATCCACAGACCTGAGGATTGTATATCTCCATCTTATGGAAAGGATTGACTGCGATGAGGATGTCTCCCACATATGTGTAAATTTGGTCTCTTCCATAGCGACTCTGAAGCTGCTCTGTGACCGTGTTCTGGAAGGAACCAACAAACTTTATTCAGTTTTCATCCATGACATATTTTCAGTCCTATGAAGTTTCTTTCTACGTTGTCTTACGAGAGATAAATGCAAACAAATCATTAATAAAACCAAGCGCCCCTTTAGCTCATGTCCGGCCTCAGGTGGAGGCCGGTTACGTCAGCGTTTTATCTTCCTGTCACACGGTGATTGATTCTCCCGTCTTCATACTTACGGGACAGGTACATCAACAACAGCACTGCCTCCCTCACACTCATCCTGACGGATGGGTGGAAATATCCGCTGGTAACTGAGAGTGTTTGTATCATTCAATATGTCACATTTGATAAATTGCCCCTGATGTTATTTGTGCTACTGTGCAGCTCAGGCCAACTGGCCAATCGAACAACTACAAGATACCGCAGATGTTCCTTTCGGTGTAGTGAATGTAATTGTTATAATTAGGTCTCTTTCGTTTCCAGAGTAAAAAAATATAATATGTGAAACTCAACTTTTTCCACCAGGTTCGCTCCCTCATTATATTTTGCTTTTTGATCCACTATCACACTAAGTTCTAGAAAGGTCAGAGCTGAGTTCGTACTTTCTTACCTCATCCAGAACTTCCAAGGTGGCGAGGTCTTCCACCTCGTCTGGGTCGCTCTGTGTCTTCATGTGGCTTCCTTTTTTAGTGTGGATGCGTTCATGCCTGCAATTCACAGGGTGCACAACCAAGCCTCTTCATAAGCAGCGTATGTAACGAGACATAAGTCATCCTGCTTGAAATTCAGTGCATGCAGAGCACAGAATGGTGCAGCGCACATTCCTGCCAATGTTATTTGCTTGGGCAAAGAACAAATCTCTTTAAACGAATTCTAAATAACTTAAATATAATCAATTAGATAAAGATTTTAATGTAAATGTAACACTGAATGGTAAATCAGTAGGCACTCCATCCTCTCTTTGCCTCGTGTGAGACTCGTTACGTGTTAGCCTGAAGCTTACCGAGATAAAACTGCTCACTGCTCATGGTGGCGTTGATAGCACTCATGAAAACAGGCTCCAGTGAAATCAAAATGCTGTGAGGTACCTTGCAGTGTGTTTCACTGCTATCATGTGAAAACTGAATCTGATGGAAGAATATCTTGACCTTCTATACCCATATCAGAAATCATATGTTACGTAAAAAAACACAAGAAACAGGGATGACTAAATGACTCAGAAAGGAGACAAGTCCAACGATGGCAGCATGTACACAGCAGTGAACTATTCAGTTAACTGGGAGTACATGTGCCATCACTACTACAACAAGAGTTATCATCTACTCCTAATGGGGCATAAAGATCATATATGCATGTGTTACCTGTCATTACTGTCTGTGCTTCTGTTTGTCTTTCCATGATGGCTTGAACGACAGAAATAGGATTAACATTTCACGACTGTATGGACGATCTGGGCCAACATTTTAACTTGTGTGCAGCCTGCACATGTCAAGTGAAGCCGGGGATTGAGCCGTTGTTTATGTGAGGGTGGCAGGGCTCGTAAAGTCTCTAGCAGAGGGGGGTAATTTGGATTATACTGCCTGCTAAAGTTAAGCTGCAGTTTAGGAAAGAAGAGCCACTGACGGGGAGGTTTGTGTCTTTTTGGCAGCAGACACACGTCATAGGACTCGAGTATTATGAGTGTGCCGCTCGACGAGCAGCACGACTGCTGCCGCCTCACTGACATTTGTAGAAATGTGAAGTATCTGAAATATGGACGGTACCTTGTTTTTTCAATGGATCCTATTTGTTGATTGAGATCAATGAGTTCAATCAATTGTTTCTGCAGAATTCTCTCTCTGCCGACAATCTGTTTGATGAACACATGCTGGAGCAGGTCGAGCACATTTGGTCTGAGCTCAAAATCCTTAATCAGACATCTGAGGAAGAAAACGGAAGAATTCAGTGAATGTCTTATTTAACTGTATTTATTATTCAGAGGCATCACAGAACGACTGGCATCCACACTCACTTGCAGATGAAGTCATTAAAGTTGTCTGACCACAGCTCCGGCTGGTGGAGGGTAGGCGGAGGATTTCTGTTTAAGGAACGAATGGAAAAGATAAATTGAATGATAAGATGAGATGGGATTTAGCAGAGCAGGGGCGGGGGGGAACAAAAGGCTGAGTGGATCGACGGGAGTGAAATCTGAACACGGCAACAATTCGTCTCCACAACACACATCCAGTGATGTTTCTGCAGCAGCTATAACAAACAGCTATTTCACTTCTGCAGCCGGGTGGCGTTGATACAGCTGAAGAGTCAATGACACTGGATCAGGTGCAGTTTTCACCAGGTCTTCTAAGGTTTGTAAAAATACCATCTAATTTAACAGACGTGTTGTTAAGGGATCAACGGTAACGAGGCCTCACAGCCTGGGAACAACGCAGCTAATTCACTTTTAATCCAGTGGCTTTTCTTTTTACAAGAACGTTCCTGGCAAGTGGTCGGGAAAGTCAATTCTGCCCGCTAACGAACCAGGTCGGCTCTGAATGCAATAAATAGTTGTAATGAAAGGCCATAAATCTCCTTTTTATCACACAACAAATAAAGACAGCAAATGCATCAGATATTTGCTGTGACTGTTTAACCGTTTTTCTTATCTGGAAGACAAAACAGGAGAGAGCGGAGGCAAAGAGTCACACGTGCCTGAGCTAATTAATCCTTTCTTTCTTTAAATGTTGGGGCAAGTGCACATCTTCTCTGTTGCACATAATAAAGGATCAGAGCATAATTAGGAGAATCATTTGAATCTTTAACCTGCTGCAAAGTGTGAAGCTCTGATTTGTTTCATTCTTTTGGGCTTTAGGTTTGTTGAATGGTCTAAAGGAGATATTCTAGCAGGTTGTTCTGTGTGGACCTGTGTTACTAATGTGTGTGTACAGAGAAATTAAGATATGGTTGATTAAATCCCAAATTTTAGATGATTGACTTGGCCGTCTCCTGCAGCTCTTGAACAATTGCCTGCGATTGAGCAACAGTCCTGTTCAACAAATCTGCACCACTGTGGTTTAGATCGACATAAAACCAGAAACATCCTTTCAACAGCTCACTAATCCAGCTAACAAAGATCATCTTTATGGGCTCTGCATCAGAGGGCTGTGTTGGATTATTGTAAATCACCATGTCAAGAATATTTGAGTCATGAGGACACAATAAAGGCAAAGCAGAGACCCAGGTAAAAACAAGTGTTCCTATTTTTCAACATAAGAATCTGGATTAAATTAATCTATATGATCCTGTATTGGGTATAAAACATGTTAAAAAAGAGGAGCACTGAGCGATAACAACTGTATTTGGATGTTGAAAAAGTAAAGAACACATAAATAGGAGGTGTTTTTTCTTCTTGATGATCCTCTGTTTTTATTTGGCCTAAATTAAATAAGACAAGGTGTGGTTCAGTCCCTCTTTCCTCGACTGCTTGATGAACAGAAAGCCTGGAGCTCTGGCTGCAGCAGTCACATAGATTCTGGGAAGGCGGCGTGACAGCTCCTGTGGAGCACGACCCCGAGAACAAACACACACGACAGCCATGACACAGATGTCTGTGTGTGTGTGTGTGTGTGTGTGTGCATGTAGGGCGTGCCCACGTGCCGTGATGGACAAAGTGCTGTGCCGTTAAGAAGACGGTGAAGGCAAGTGCGGCTCTTGGAATCTGGAGATGATGAACAATTTACATTTCACCTTCGCAGAACGCACAGATGAGAAAAGGGTGGCTGGGCTCTGAGCGCCCCCCCCCCCCCCCGGGTGGGAACAGAGCCAGGAGGGGAGTACTTTAGGGATCAGACCCCATGAGCAGAAAAAAGCGATTTGAAAGGAAAAGACTGCATTTTGTCTGGTTCAGTCTGTGGATAGAAAAGCAAATTGCTGGGTTTAGGAGCAGGAGATGGATTTTCTGGATTGCAGTACAATCACGATGCATTACCCTGTCTTTACATTGCTCTCCAGAGGAGGGGTGTCAGGAAAACATACCCTCTGCTGCTGAAAAACATTTTTTTTTTTTTTTTTTTAAAGCTTTGTCCCTTGCAGCTTGGATGATTGACGCACAGTTGTGATGGAGGCTCACCTGGGTATTTTGAAAAGAGCTCTCATTGGATGGAGTTCCGAGAGGGGCGGGTCTCCATCTCCCAGCTCTATGGCGGTGATGCCCAGGGACCAAACATCACAGCGAGCATCGTAGGTTGAGTCCAGCTGCTGCTCACAGGCTATTACCTGGAGCATGGAGAAACAGAAACAGTAATGACCAAGACGGATAGATGAAGTTTCCAGTGTAAAAGCTGGAACTCGTTATCAGCCTCCATCTCTATCACTCCTTCATCTTCCATTGACCCGTTTGCCTCAATGGCACAAACAGAATTAACACAATCTGTATTTCCTTTAAGCCGAAACCAACAACACGATACAAGAGCTAAAGTTGGGAAGTTTGGGGCAAAAGGTCAATATTTGTGTATTATTATTGGATTTTGTTATTTTTTTTCTGCCTTTACACCCTCATTAGTTTCTCACACACACATACACACACACACACATGCTAATAGTCAATCATCAGTGTCCTCAGGGCAACATGGTACCAATCAACTACATGAATCATCTCTGAGTGGGAGGCATGTGCTCACATCAAATGTTTAAAATCAATATGAATTGTATTACCAATTCCCAATAGCCATGTTGTTATGTACAAAGGCTAAATCATTATCGAGTTATGTGTAATGTGTAACCATTATACACAGCTCAAAGAACAATCATTAGATCATGACACAAACTTACCCCACACCTGAAAGTTATATATCCAAATCTCCTTTAGGAAGAAAACTAATAATCCAAAACTGTAGAAAGTCTGCTCCAGAAGAATCTCTTTAAAATGTTTACACCCCTGGCCTTTAAACAACCCTGCAGCCAAACACTGTCTCCAACAAGCTCCTTCCTTTCTTACGGCTTGGTCGATGAGCATTTTACACAAATGAGATTAAAATCCTAGTATCCCGGACACGTCATGCAGTCTAATAGTCTAATACACAGTCTGCACAGCATGCAAACCTCATGTAAAAATGTTGATTGTGATTTGTCAGGTGATCATGCAAGAGTTAAAAACTTGAAGAACTCTTGTGAGTTAAAGCATTGAAAACTGGCAAAGGTGCAATGGTTACAAAGTGAGTCTGTGTAGAGGAGGATCAGGTTTCCTCACAGGTTTTACTCGTGGTTCATCTGATGTTGATCGGTGCGGAGGTGCAGACGAGCGGTTATGGGATGCCTCCACGTGTCGAGGTTTATTCTGAGGTGTTGTGGTGTCGGTTTAATGAAATATAAATGAGATGGACCTGTTTCTACAGCAGCTGTGGCTGAATCTCCTTCACAATCGGCCGTTTCACTACAGTCAAGACTTCAGACAGGTTCTTTAGCACCAGACTGAGAACAGAGACTGCATCTAGTTCCCTATTGTCCAGCTGAAGTAAGACCGCATGCCTTCACAGGAACTGAACCGTCACCAAAAATCCTCCAATCCAAAGCAATAACCTGGAACCTCACCTCACTTCCTCCTGCACCTTACACAACACATGAAAAGTCACATAAAAACCAAGATGGGACTTTGATGATCGTTTCTTGATGTGTACTTCAGAGGCTGGATGTGCAGCGAGCCGTGATTAGATCGCAGATGAATGACGGAGGCTGCCCATTGCATTTGACAGTGTTATCTCTTTGATGATTATTAACTGTGGCCCCGCCGGGATCCGCTGCGGGCTAATGTAGTGTAAAGGGAACAGGCGTCGGGGGCGTTTAAAGGCGGGTTTTTACTTTACCTCGGGAGCCATCCAGAAGGGAGTTCCAACAGAGGTGTTCCTCCTCAGACGGGTGTTTGTCAGCTGTGCCGAGACACCTGCAGAGACGGAGGATACACACTTCAGACATTTTAGCTTCTTTCTCTGGAATCTCAATAACTTCATGTTTTTTTTCTTCTTCTCAAAGATCAGCCTAACTGGTGAAAGTGATGATCTGTGAAAAGGGAAACAGTAGGTTCCAGGTTCTCCTATGAGCACTGATGGAGCTGTCACTATACTGACAAGGAGGGAAAACAAAACACAGACACACAAGCTGCTCAGGCTTTTTTTTCTCCTTTCATCCAAATGATAGATTGCTTTGAATTACAAATTCTTGTGTGACTCACGGATGATTTTAACCAGACACTTCAAGAACAAGATTTAAATACAGTTTGACTGTAAACAGGCTGCAGCAGCTAGAGACCACATTTCTCTCACTCTCTCTCCGAACAAGATATCATGTGATTTATTTGTTTATATTAGAATTATCTGCATATAGAACCAGAGGGACAACAGTCATGCTATGACAGCCGAGTCAGAGATAGATAAATTCAGCACAAATAGGTCTGCAGAGGAAAAGAGTGTGTCCTCCGGTGTCTGTCTTAGGGTGCAGTTAAAAAGCCTGACAAGGAACATGCTGACCCACAATCGTGACTTCGGTCCAGTCCAGACAAATCAGCGTTACGCCACATGGTCATGTGTCCCGGGGCGGGTTCTGCTGAGGCAGCCGACCACGACGAAAGCAGAGCCTCCAGACAAAAGTGGCTGCCGACAAACAAAAGGTGATCGGCTGCTGCACAGCGAGCTGCTGCACAGGGCATTGTCTTTATCTGGCACATTATGTTTATGGGTTATGGTTGTGCACTTTGTGCAATATGTTAAATTGTGTTTCAGTAGATAAAAGCTGAGAGGAAATGATGAGATCATTCGTGAAGCTGCACCAACAAGCAACTGTTTCTTTCAAATGATATTTCTGTTCGATGCGGTCGGTACAGTAGAGAACGTGATGTTTCTGATGGTTACAGCCAGGGGAGGAGAGAAAATGCCAGGATGAGCAATGCAGAGGAAAACCGTTGTGTAGCCAAACATCAAAAGGGATTAGAATCATGTGCAGGAAGGGATGTGCACACACACACACACACACACACACACACACACACACACAAAGCCGCTTCACAGTAACACATCAACCTGCATTAGCGAGAACAAACCCACAGTTTTACTTGGATGCGGCCACATGCACAACAAAGAAACATGAAGCCGCACATGAAACCCACAAAGATCTGATAGAACACACATCTGCTATAATATATGGATATATAATGCACATATATGAGGTTTATCAAGAGCCCCTTATTAAAGCTCTCAGTCCCTCTCTTTCCACTACATTAACCCCGGGTGGGGCCTGGTGGGCCACACTTAATAATCATCACAGAGATAACGCTGTCAATTAGAATATTCATGAGGGACCCGTGAGGGAACGGCTCCCCTCCATTCTTCCACTGCTCTTTTTTTGGGTCCGTCTCTTTGCCGTTTCTATTTGTCTCTGCCGGTGATGAGTCACTGCGGGGGTTTGATCTCCTCAGCTGCTTGGTGTGGCGTGCACCCCTCCCCAAGAAAAAAACCCATTAATCTCAGTGTGACGCAGCGCCTGCGTCGTGTAGCGATGACGGAAGCGAGCTGGACCTTTGTCGTCACTCTTTAAGCTCTTACGTATATATTTTATTCTTGTACTAGTATTGGTTTTATTTCTAAACTGCTATTTTTGCTTTTTTGTCAGTCAGTTATGATAAAGACAAGAAAAACTAAAATTATCTGCGACACGACATTTACTGTATCACAGAAAGATGAGAAATGTAAAAGTAAGTCACTGACTGTCTGTGTTGCAGTACAGATTTTGTGTTTTTGTAATTTGTTTTCTAACTTCATCATCAGCAAAGATCTGAACACTTTACCTCTTTTAAAACTGGTGCAATAAACAGGAGGACAAGGCTCCTCTGGAGGTAAAGGGTGGCCGTGCTTCACATTCACATTTTAAGTGATTCCATTAGTTCCTCCTCCTCCTCCCTCAGTAAGAGCTGTGCACTTTTGTGCTTCATGGTTGGGAAAAGGCTTTTAAGAGAAGCCCACAATTAGCAGAATAAATACAAACCTACGCACGTGTTGAGTGGGGATTTTATTCGTAATGAAAACAGGCAGCTGTTTTTTTTTCCCCCCTGAGGAAAACTGGGGTGAGTCATCCCCTGGAAATAGTCACAACCACTTTGCCTTCGATCCAGGAACTATGGTGCGCCGCTGTGAAAGCTTCATTTGGTTAAGAAAAGCCAAAAGCAAATTAGGGCAAACGCAGAGTGAATAGCAACAGTATCCAATAAGCTGTGTGCTACATAAGGGAAAAGATGGGGCGTAATGGAAAAGTAGAACCGTCTGCCACCTTGTTGGTTTGTGTAAATGTAGCCCGACCTCAAGGAAACTAATTAGTGGCACAATTTATTTGGCAAGCGGCTGAAGGTAATGTGTTTGACCCTCTTCTGTTAAATAGAGCCAAACATCACTGATTGGATGAGGATGGCACAAAAAAAGTCTTTGGCAAAACGAAACTATAAATACAGATGCTTGATGCTTCTCTGCTTCCTTCCTGTATTTTGACTTTCGTGCAGTGCTTGTGGGCCGTTTTCTTCTCCTGTCGTGATTCTTGTTTGCTGTTTTGTTTTTTGAAACTGCAAAAGTGACCTGCAGTGATTGAGCTGGATAAAAAGCTGTTCCCCTGTTTATTCGCTTCAGTTTAAATTGTACAGCGAGAAATCACAACAGACATAAAACTCTAGATGTTGGGTTCCACACTTCCCACAATAAGGGAGTACTCCTGCGACTGTGGAGAGAAAGTACTCCCTCTCTCCCTCCGCCATCTGGGGTGAGCAGAGAAAAATGGGGAAGAGAGGAGAGGTGGCTGGAAAAGTTTCAAAGCATTTCAAACGAGACACGTTACAAACCAAAATCCACAAGTTTGATCCCTCCATGCGTCGTCAGCAGGATGTTGTTGCCCTTGACGTCGCGGTGAATGGTCTTGTTGACGTGCAGGTGCTGGAGACCCTGCGGACAAGAGGGAGGTGACAGTGAACACCTGCCTGCAGAAATTATCCTCTCTTTGTTGAAGCAATTTATTTAAGGAGCTGGGGGTCGTTCTGCTAAACTCTACAGGACGCCTTCGTATCCCTTCCCGCTAAAAGCCAGATTTACCATGAGGGCCTCGTGCAACATGTAGGCAATGATGGCTTCGTCCATTCTGTCTCCTCTCCTCAGCATGCCTTTGGCCAGATCCGTCACCGAGCCTCCATTGCAAAGCTGCGGAAAACAAAACAAAGGGAGGAGGACAATGAGCAGAAACCTCAGCATGAGTCAGCACTTATAGCTCAGTTTATACAATCTGCTGAAATCTGGGGCATCTTAGATTCGCAAGAGCTCCACAGGATGAAAACGTATTGATGAGATTTCACAGCGAGAGATGCTCAGAGTAATTCTGTCGATCTTCAGCAGCTTATCTTTCTCCGGCAGCTTAGTGGGAGGTGGAGAGAGAATGTACAGTTTGTGAGGAGGTTTTAATCTGCGCTGTGATGACGGGGTAAATATTAAAGATGCACAAATCGTCTTCAAAGTAACTGCTTCCTCTTATGTTTTCAGGTTTGCACCGTAAATTACACGCAATTTAAAGGCCAACGTTTGGTAACAGAGACACATTCAAAGGTAAAAATCAACATTTCCTCTTCACACTCTCTCTGGCAGCAGACTGCTTTTAGATATGGACTTCACCATTAACAGCATCGACAGCAAACCCTCCTGGAAAATTACAGTAAATTACCCCGCAGGTTGCCAAGACAACACAAATAACCAGTGCTGTGGGCCTTTCTTCGAGAGATGCCACAGCTATAGGGGGGAAAAAGCATTCAGATCCCAGTCAGCAGCAGAGAAAAAGAAAAAAGGCTGGAAGTGAACAGAAATTGTAGATTCTGTATACGAACGCTGTTTGTAAACACACATGCATCCATCTTTTTCCATGTCGACATCTTTAGTCCATCAAAAAACATTTTGTACAAGGCAGGATATTTCCATCATAATTCTTTATGTGCTATAATTACACTAATTCCCCACACTTGTATAATGAAAGCTTAATTAGGCAGCAGACATGCAGCGGAGGATAAGAATCGCTCCCCTGCGGCGATGGTACTAAAGTCAAATGTGCAGCACGTATCAGAAAAGGTCATAAATAAATAACTTAATACGACTGTAATGTTTTTCAATTCACATTCAAAACGACAAAGCGCAGCACGAGGCGTCGTGGTGCGATATTTATTTTAGTATTCTGGTGAGTGGAGGCAGGATGTTTACTCGCTCTGTGCTCGTACGGTTTTTGAGAAATCACATTGCATAATGGAGCTGGGTAGAAAATCAGCGTTCACTTCTTGCGCAATCCGGCCGAGACAGAAAGTGCTGACTGGTGCGACAGTAGCATCATAAAACAGACAGAATGAAACAGAGCCAGTCTTTCATCACGGTGTTATCCCCCCCCCCCNCACACACACACACACACACACACACACACACACACACAAAGCCGCTTCACAGTAACACATCAACCTGCATTAGCGAGAACAAACCCACAGTTTTACTTGGATGCGGCCACATGCACAACAAAGAAACATGAAGCCGCACATGAAACCCACAAAGATCTGATAGAACACACATCTGCTATAATATATGGATATATAATGCACATATATGAGGTTTATCAAGAGCCCCTTATTAAAGCTCTCAGTCCCTCTCTTTCCACTACATTAACCCCGGGTGGGGCCTGGTGGGCCACACTTAATAATCATCACAGAGATAACGCTGTCAATTAGAATATTCATGAGGGACCCGTGAGGGAACGGCTCCCCTCCATTCTTCCACTGCTCTTTTTTTGGGTCCGTCTCTTTGCCGTTTCTATTTGTCTCTGCCGGTGATGAGTCACTGCGGGGGTTTGATCTCCTCAGCTGCTTGGTGTGGCGTGCACCCCTCCCCAAGAAAAAAACCCATTAATCTCAGTGTGACGCAGCGCCTGCGTCGTGTAGCGATGACGGAAGCGAGCTGGACCTTTGTCGTCACTCTTTAAGCTCTTACGTATATATTTTATTCTTGTACTAGTATTGGTTTTATTTCTAAACTGCTATTTTTGCTTTTTTGTCAGTCAGTTATGATAAAGACAAGAAAAACTAAAATTATCTGCGACACGACATTTACTGTATCACAGAAAGATGAGAAATGTAAAAGTAAGTCACTGACTGTCTGTGTTGCAGTACAGATTTTGTGTTTTTGTAATTTGTTTTCTAACTTCATCATCAGCAAAGATCTGAACACTTTACCTCTTTTAAAACTGGTGCAATAAACAGGAGGACAAGGCTCCTCTGGAGGTAAAGGGTGGCCGTGCTTCACATTCACATTTTAAGTGATTCCATTAGTTCCTCCTCCTCCTCCCTCAGTAAGAGCTGTGCACTTTTGTGCTTCATGGTTGGGAAAAGGCTTTTAAGAGAAGCCCACAATTAGCAGAATAAATACAAACCTACGCACGTGTTGAGTGGGGATTTTATTCGTAATGAAAACAGGCAGCTGTTTTTTTTTCCCCCCTGAGGAAAACTGGGGTGAGTCATCCCCTGGAAATAGTCACAACCACTTTGCCTTCGATCCAGGAACTATGGTGCGCCGCTGTGAAAGCTTCATTTGGTTAAGAAAAGCCAAAAGCAAATTAGGGCAAACGCAGAGTGAATAGCAACAGTATCCAATAAGCTGTGTGCTACATAAGGGAAAAGATGGGGCGTAATGGAAAAGTAGAACCGTCTGCCACCTTGTTGGTTTGTGTAAATGTAGCCCGACCTCAAGGAAACTAATTAGTGGCACAATTTATTTGGCAAGCGGCTGAAGGTAATGTGTTTGACCCTCTTCTGTTAAATAGAGCCAAACATCACTGATTGGATGAGGATGGCACAAAAAAAGTCTTTGGCAAAACGAAACTATAAATACAGATGCTTGATGCTTCTCTGCTTCCTTCCTGTATTTTGACTTTCGTGCAGTGCTTGTGGGCCGTTTTCTTCTCCTGTCGTGATTCTTGTTTGCTGTTTTGTTTTTTGAAACTGCAAAAGTGACCTGCAGTGATTGAGCTGGATAAAAAGCTGTTCCCCTGTTTATTCGCTTCAGTTTAAATTGTACAGCGAGAAATCACAACAGACATAAAACTCTAGATGTTGGGTTCCACACTTCCCACAATAAGGGAGTACTCCTGCGACTGTGGAGAGAAAGTACTCCCTCTCTCCCTCCGCCATCTGGGGTGAGCAGAGAAAAATGGGGAAGAGAGGAGAGGTGGCTGGAAAAGTTTCAAAGCATTTCAAACGAGACACGTTACAAACCAAAATCCACAAGTTTGATCCCTCCATGCGTCGTCAGCAGGATGTTGTTGCCCTTGACGTCGCGGTGAATGGTCTTGTTGACGTGCAGGTGCTGGAGACCCTGCGGACAAGAGGGAGGTGACAGTGAACACCTGCCTGCAGAAATTATCCTCTCTTTGTTGAAGCAATTTATTTAAGGAGCTGGGGGTCGTTCTGCTAAACTCTACAGGACGCCTTCGTATCCCTTCCCGCTAAAAGCCAGATTTACCATGAGGGCCTCGTGCAACATGTAGGCAATGATGGCTTCGTCCATTCTGTCTCCTCTCCTCAGCATGCCTTTGGCCAGATCCGTCACCGAGCCTCCATTGCAAAGCTGCGGAAAACAAAACAAAGGGAGGAGGACAATGAGCAGAAACCTCAGCATGAGTCAGCACTTATAGCTCAGTTTATACAATCTGCTGAAATCTGGGGCATCTTAGATTCGCAAGAGCTCCACAGGATGAAAACGTATTGATGAGATTTCACAGCGAGAGATGCTCAGAGTAATTCTGTCGATCTTCAGCAGCTTATCTTTCTCCGGCAGCTTAGTGGGAGGTGGAGAGAGAATGTACAGTTTGTGAGGAGGTTTTAATCTGCGCTGTGATGACGGGGTAAATATTAAAGATGCACAAATCGTCTTCAAAGTAACTGCTTCCTCTTATGTTTTCAGGTTTGCACCGTAAATTACACGCAATTTAAAGGCCAACGTTTGGTAACAGAGACACATTCAAAGGTAAAAATCAACATTTCCTCTTCACACTCTCTCTGGCAGCAGACTGCTTTTAGATATGGACTTCACCATTAACAGCATCGACAGCAAACCCTCCTGGAAAATTACAGTAAATTACCCCGCAGGTTGCCAAGACAACACAAATAACCAGTGCTGTGGGCCTTTCTTCGAGAGATGCCACAGCTATAGGGGGGAAAAAGCATTCAGATCCCAGTCAGCAGCAGAGAAAAAGAAAAAAGGCTGGAAGTGAACAGAAATTGTAGATTCTGTATACGAACGCTGTTTGTAAACACACATGCATCCATCTTTTTCCATGTCGACATCTTTAGTCCATCAAAAAACATTTTGTACAAGGCAGGATATTTCCATCATAATTCTTTATGTGCTATAATTACACTAATTCCCCACACTTGTATAATGAAAGCTTAATTAGGCAGCAGACATGCAGCGGAGGATAAGAATCGCTCCCCTGCGGCGATGGTACTAAAGTCAAATGTGCAGCACGTATCAGAAAAGGTCATAAATAAATAACTTAATACGACTGTAATGTTTTTCAATTCACATTCAAAACGACAAAGCGCAGCACGAGGCGTCGTGGTGCGATATTTATTTTAGTATTCTGGTGAGTGGAGGCAGGATGTTTACTCGCTCTGTGCTCGTACGGTTTTTGAGAAATCACATTGCATAATGGAGCTGGGTAGAAAATCAGCGTTCACTTCTTGCGCAATCCGGCCGAGACAGAAAGTGCTGACTGGTGCGACAGTAGCATCATAAAACAGACAGAATGAAACAGAGCCAGTCTTTCATCACGGTGTTATCCCCCCCCCCACACGGCTCGATTGCCTCTGCACATACTTTGCTAAAGTGTGTCTGTGACACTGAGCTGAAGCTGGAGGATCCAGTCAACACCTTAAAGATAGAACACTTCACCAAGGAGGACATGTTTTCACTTCTGTGTTGGTTGATTGGTTTGTTTGTCAGCAGGATTACGCAAAAACAACTGAACTAAACTTGGTGGAAGGACATGGACATGGACAAGGACATGGGCCAAGATAGAACCCAATAAATTCAGTTGCTGATGTGGAGAAAGGGACAATATTAATATGAGTATATCGGATCTCTGCGTACTTCTCTCTGTTTCCGTGTCTCTTTGGTCATTTAGCGTCTCTTCAGCGTCTCTTTGGTTTCAAGTCACTTTAAACAGAAACTTTGTCCCAGGGGCCCCGTGACCGCTCAGTCCCCTGGATTGGTGTCTGGACGTCCTGCTCACTTCGTGCTTCTCATGATGCTGAGAGTGAAGCAAGTGTTTGACCTTGAACAAGCAGCGTCATGAGCCGCATGTCTGTTTTCTTTCTGCCTATCAATCTACCTCTCCATCAGGAGCCCAGAGATGCCGCTGCAGGATGGATGGCGTGTATCTCAGCTGCCACATGGGAGTTTAATCACTCCTCCTCCCTGCTACCAGACGTGCAGTCAAACTGCAGTTAAGCAGAGAATACCGCCGAGGCTTCCGCAGACAGCGCGGCGAACCGACAACGAGCCGAGCCTGACGTCAGTTCACATCTCTGCTGCCATATCACCTGTCATCATTAAATTACACAGGGCAGACGGACAAATCCATATTAATGAGAGGTGCCGTGCTCTAGATTTAACTGAGCTAAACGTTAGCGCTCTCACCTTAGCCACAGAGCACACGTCCAGAAAGTGATGCTAGACGTGGACATTAATTATTTCAGATGACGACTCAAACCTCTGCAGGACGGAGACGATAAATGACACTTCAGACGTAGTTTGATTTTATGGATTAAACCAGATTTCCTGAACTTTCAATGGAAAGAAGAACGAATACTTTATGTTAAATGTTTTGAGGTTAAAGTTTAAAGGTGATGGCACGTTTAGTATAACTGCTTAAAAACTTTGAGGTCAAATTCAAGACACGTCCTTTTATATTTGTTTCACAGAAGTTATTCTAACTTTATTTGCTCTTCTCTGTTTTTAGCACTTTGGTCACGTCTGGTTGTTTCAAATGTGCTTATTAGTTTTGATGGATTTGTCTTTATCCTCACAGCGTTTGAAAAGACTCATAATTAATTTAATTACATATGGATGATAATTGTTATGACAACAGCAATTTGTATTCCTTAATTAATGGCTGAAGTTGTTATATCCGCCAAAAAATAAGTAGAAATAACTTTTAAGTGTAAAATTTATGTGAAGATCTGCATGTTCTTGTGTGTGGACATTATGAATTATTCATTTTCAAAGAATACACTGAATACATTGAACTCTGAGCGGCATGTTCTCCAATACAAATGAGGTCAGCTGCTTGTTTAGTCATGTAAATGAAAGTAGTTGATCAAAGACGGAAGAGGAAGAGAAGTGGATGAAACAAATGTAAAGATGAAACAAAACACACACACACACACACACACACACTGAGACAGCCTTTAAAATATACAGGTGCTGACTTTGTATATCTTTCCTCGCAAAGTACTTTTTTATTTACTGCCAGATTAGTTGCATTCACATTGAATGTGTGTGTGTGTGTGTGTGTGTGTGTGTGTGTGTGTGTGTGTGTGTGTGTGTGTCACGCTGGATCGTCTCCAGAGAGAAGCACTCAGCTTGTGACTGTGGCCTTATCGTTTACACGAGCATAATAGCCGAGGTGTCTGCTTTCCGCTGCTGTTTATTGAAAAGTCCAAACAAGGAATAGCATTTTAAACCTCGTTGTGGATTAATGACTGAAGGGGTCAGGATGTTTTTGACTTTCATAGAGTGTTCATCAAAGAGGCGACGTGGTGCAAAGAGAGAGAACAAACCAAGAGGTTAAAAACTTTGTTTATGCAAAGAAATCTGTTCAGATTTCTGATTCGTCTTTCGCAGCCTTGCACACTTTGGTTTCTTCCATTCTTGCTCTCAGAGGCTCCAGTGTTATCATATGTCTTTGTTGTGCCACAAGCTTGCACATGCATTACTTTTCTAAACTACAGGAGGTTTTGCTTCATTGATCATTTTCTCAGTATTAACCACACTCAAAACGCCCGGTGACAAATTCTTGGTGGGCTGTCATCTGGAGTTTTACTCAAGTTCCTCCATCTCTGCTCAAACTGAACCTCTCAAAGATGCCACTGCCGATAAACGTCCTTCATGCCCAGTTACTTTCTTCCATATCTTAATGACTGAGCTCATTCATTATTAAAGGAGTTTCACGCTTTTCTCTCAACTGTCAAATCAATTAAATGTTCCAAAGGTAGAAGCAGCAGCTCAGCATAGACGCAACATTAAGGTGATGTGTTGAACACGATCGGGACAAGTTGTACTTTTGTTATACACCAAAGTTCATTGTGAGGTAATTCAGGCTGCACCGAATTTCTCAAAGATATCAGTTCCCTAAATATGCCCTAATATTAAAAAACTGAATTTAATGGCTCGTAATCCATCTTTCCAAGTTTTGTTTAAAATCTGTCAATAATTAAAAAAACTGTGGTAGAAGTCCTATGAGTTAAAACCATTAAACAAACTCAGAGTAATTCAGAGTAAAAATGCAATATGAGCACAAAATAAGGCAATAATGTAAAATAAGACTCATCCCTGAAGGTTAAACTAACACTGGCCTTCATTTAACAAGAGTCTGTGGCTGCAGCATGAGAGCTCACAAAGGAAATGTGCATCTAAATCATGTTTTCATCTCCAATTAGAGGATAAAAGTCTCTGCATCATCGCTGTCTTTTGAAGTATTTTCAAGCTCTGGGAGGAGATATTAAGGCGTCATTCATGCAGCATCCGCTCTCATGAAGGAGCGGACTACAGAGGCAGAGCCAAAAGCTCGCAGAGTCCAATGAGCGGCGGACAAAGTGGAGGATGCAATTTGTGTGAATTCTGTTCACAATGAGCGGTCTGCAGTCAGGGCAGAAAAAAGGATGGAAAATTACAGTTTAGAGAGGAGGGACAGTAACCATGGTGAACAACCTCCTCGCTCCTCCAGCTTTCCTGCCTCTCCACGGCTAAAACGTGCATCTACCTCAGAGCCCCACAAACGCACACTTCAGCCCCACAAAGCCACTCGCTAAACTGCTGGGCGGCGATTTCAGCCTCGGGATTAGCCACCAGATTTGGAACGCTGGCTGCATATTTTTGCATGGGAAATTATGAGAGGAGGAAAGAAGGAGTAAACAAAGTAGTCGAGTAAACTCCACAAACTCCAGATTAGAATTTTAGAATTTGAGTCCTGACATTGAAAAAAAAAAAAATCTGTCACTGCAGTGCAGAAAAAGACGAAACGACAAAATCACATGAAGGTCTTTGTTTTGGTCTCTGCTCAGCATCTTAGACTGCACCTTATATCTGAGCCAAGTCACTGCAGCGTCCTCTGCAAAGGTCAGGAGGAAGGGCAGCGATGAAACGTGAAGGAAACACAAGCTGCGGAGGTGAAAACTATCTAGTGGGTTGACATAACACTGCCACTGTTGATGAAAAGTCCACTGAGCTTGGATTACAGAAATATGGACACTGTGTTCTAGCACTGCTGCACCTGAGAGTGGAGGAGGGAACGAGCGCTGTCAGACTTTGAGACCAAACACTAAACGTACTCAGTGCACTGCAGGTCGGAGAACACCATACAATTAAATGGTAGAGTGGAATTAAAGGATGAATATAAATACAAATCTCAACTTCAGAGAAAATAGAAAAAAATCCAAAGCAGCGGTGCAAATTCATATTCCGCAGACACAGCATTGAGCTAAATGCTAGAGTTTTAACATGCATACATTCTCTGTATCTGAGCAGGAACACAAATTACACGACAGCCGCCGTCGTGTCGGACCCCACAAACACACCTCCTCCACTGAGGTTGACCTCCATTACATGTTTCTCTAGGACTTGACATTTCAAAAGGGCTACAGCGGGAAATGAAATATTACAGATGAAGAACTGGGGACCTCGAGGCGTGTGGCTTTCTTTTTTTTTTTTTTTTCTCAGATGTACAGAAACCCGCAGCGGCACCAAGGTCCCCTTGAACTTTTGCATTACACATCGCACAATCACACCTGTCACCATCGCTTCTACAGGAGCAGGTACAAGAAAGCAGTCAAACGCAGAGCACCACCTTAGGCACGGCAAATTGAGTCGTTAAAAATATCCAAGCGCACCACATACAGAAGTCTGCGCTCTGTATAAATTCAAACCCAACACATCAATGATGCTAACTGGCCTGCGACCAAATCCCTCAGCTGGCCTAAAAATAAATAAACTCCTAGACTGCTCATAGCGGCTTAAAGTGTGACATAATCCCAGGACAGAGTTGGTCACCGCTGCACATACCTGGCGAGACGCGGGGTGTGAAGTTCAATCTGACCTTTAATCTGCATTTGTGTCTGCACGACAACAACATGGTAAACAGACTGTTCAGGTTTGTATCCAACGACAGATGTAGGTTAAATAAAGATGGACGGCGTGTCTTCACTTCCTCAGATTAACGTAGTTTGGAGCCAGAGTCAGCACAGTCGAGATCGTGGAGCTTTTTAGTTACGTCTAAGTCCCATCTGCTAACATAGAGGAGGCAGGGTTTACTACCTGTACCGCAGCCAGCCACTAGGGGGTGTTGGAAATGTTGAAAAGGGAGGGCTGTTATGTCGTCCATCTTTATTTTCCATCACTGGCAGCAGATGTGTTAATTCAAGTATAACGAGCACTCTCACCTCCAGCACGAGCCACAACTGATCTCCACATTTCACATCCTTCTTGTAGTACATCCCATAAAACTTGACGACATTGGAGTGGTCGGACAGAGCTTTGAGGATGTTGTACTCCGCTTCTATCTCCTCATCAATATCCTGCAGAGACAGATCAGTTCAAACAGGTCAAAGACAGACACGTGCTGATAACATAATGTTTTCGTCATCACATCTCATTCATCTGAAGGATCGAGAGGGAAAAATAAAGATGCTTGATTTGCTTGTTTTCTTACAAAGATGGCAGATGAGTGTTTTAGATTAAGACTTTTCTTGTTGCTTTGTTAGTCAGAAAAGTCCCCATCGTTGTCAGTGTGGGCGGTGAGAGCAAATCCAGACCCATCCTAATTACTGCAATTATAAGTCACTCTTTCACTGCATGTTGCAGCCACACTGTAATAAAACAGGACTACTCTACATGGAGGTGTAGAGGTGTCTTTATTTAATCTACAGGACAATGTATGCCTCCTGCATAGGATTATCATTATTATTATTTGAATCTATGAAACATGAGATAGATTCTGAATATCCAGATATAAAGGTAAACTTACGTGGATGGGATCCAATATCTTCACCGCTGCTTTACTTCCATCAGTCTTGTTGAGAACCTTGTAGACTTTTCCGTACGTCCCCTTCCCGATCGTCTCGATGATTTCCCAGGAGTCAGTGGGATCTGGAAAGTTGTCAAAGACGATGGATTTCCCTGATTGTGGAAACATCTTCTGGAGAGATCTCCTGCAGGAGGGAAAGCACAAAGGGTCACGTTAGGAAACTGCAAGAGGTTCAGCTGGGAGAGGACGTTGTAGAGGGGTGGTGCGTTTACACAGTTCTTCATCTATGTGAGGTTTATCTGAAGGAGTCGTATGAGAAACTACATCCATCCATCTGCTCGCTGTCTAAAACCCACACAGAGAGTGAATAAAATAGAAAGGCCAAAGCCAAACCAGGATTCAAACCAACAACCCGCTTGCTGTGTAGTGACGGTGCATGCTGATGACACTGCACCACCGTGCCGCCCTGTGCAAATACATTTCACATATCAAATCATATTGATGCAGACAAAAGAACATGCATCTTAATATTTAACACATGTGACACAGCAGTTTTCTCGTTACCGAGTTTCATGCATTGCAGCTTTCATCATGCTGACACACTAGTTTGTCTTTCAACTGAGGTAAAAGCTCATCTACACTAACCAGAGAAGAATTCAGAGGTAGCTGAATAGTTGTGGCTCAAAGTTTCGGTTTCGTGGCTTAAACGACACCAGCAGCTGTGAGGTGTTGGAATCTGGAACAAATGAAAATAAAGTATTAGAGGTTGTATCGGGGTCAGTGGTCGAAATCTCTAAACCCCTTTTCCTCTGTCAGCGTAAAATACAAGCGATAAACTTTTGCTTTTATCCGTCTGCACTTGACAGACTTGCAGTTTTATTTCCTGTATCTCGTTCAGTGGTGACAGTCAATTAAAATGTCTGCTATGAGCTCTGTGAGTGTGATGGAGTCCTGACAGTGGTGGATACTGTGCAAACATTCAACTCGTATGTTATTTCAAATCATTATTTAATAAATGAGTTGGTCTGATGTTGTTAATAAACTTCATTTAACACGATGTACCTCGACACTGGATACAGAAAAAAACATATTTGATATTTAAGTGTACTTGAATATTTCTCGGGGTAATTAAACAGCTTATTTATCACTGATGATATTTATAGTAAATACGTTCAAACAGAAGCTCTTAACATGAATCTTAATTATCACAGCAGTCGATCATCAAGGGCTTTCTATAATTTCACAGTTTCGGGTTTGACATTTAAATCTAGAAAATAATTTTTAAGACTGATACTAAATTGAGATTCTTAATCACATTTACAAACAATTTCAATCGGTATTCGAGCAAAAAATCCACATTAATCCACATTGATGTCTGTTATGATTCTTGTCTCTAACCTCACAGAGGGGTGTGTGTATCCTACTTTCACAGCCAATCAAAGCAGAGTTTTCAGGCTGCTGTGTATCCAGAAAGAAAAGAAATGCAAAGTTATTAAATACAAAGAAGAGGATCGTAAGAAAGTTAGAGCCAACTAGATTCCCTTTTTAAAGGTGCCACACAAACACACCGTTGATAAATCCTTGCAGTTAGTTTGCCTTCGCAGTTCTGCATTCAAAACCGAACCCATACAAAAACTAAAACCACAATAAAAGCAGAATAAATCAAATCAAACTTACATTGTTCTCTAAAAACAAGCCGGGGACATTTTTGAAAAACCATTAATCCATTTCTGTGCGAAAGGTTGACGTGGAGGCAGCGGAGGGTCAGCCCGGCCCGGCCAGGAGTGTGACCCACAGAGGAGGAGCTAATGCCTGCTAATCTCACGAGCAATTCCCCTGCACCAGGGCTGCCATTAGAACCCATTACTAAGTGATAGGGCATACGGTGGGATTAGCAGGAATTAGGCACTGTTGCAGCATGAGCCTTTCCCCATATAGACGCCCATTCATACACAAAGGAAAGCTGGTTAGAGGCCCTAAGGACACAGAGCTGCAAAGAGCCATACCTCTTTTTATTATCACTGTATTTATGCTCAGGCAAGATCGAGACCCAGTTTGCTATCAGATCTGCTTCCCGGCTTTTATTTTATCTCAACTGGTGATGATAATTATGATGATTTGAATCAGTTTGACTGAGTTATTGTGAAGAAATGTCTCCAGATCCTGATTAAACTGATGAACACGGACGTTACTTTGCAGAGATTTTATCTGTCGTTGCCCATGCAGAGCAATTAGACTCCTATACATGCGTCCACGTGTCTAACTGTGTTTGCATAATGTACAGCAGCCCAGTAACCTGCAGACATCTTCAATAAAACATCACTGCCTCTAAATGTGGCGACATGAACAAGCTGTGACACATGAGACAGGAGGGCGAAACCTAAGGACACACACTGGACACCTCCAACAGGAGCAGAGGCTGCAGGGAAATAACCCCTTAGACACTGTGTGTGTGTGTGTGTGTGTGTGTGTTACCTAACCTTGTGTATCCTCGAGCGATGGCTGGCTGTCACTTTATGTTAGTTGTATTTTGCATTAACCACAGTCTGTGTACAAGTGCACACAATAATGAACAGTATGATGAACTGAGCAGGTTTGTATCATATGTACAGATGCACTACTGTGATTTTCAAAGAAAGAAACAACATAATAATTAAAAAAAAGGTTGAAATTACACATTACTTACATCGGTAACTGGACAAATGGATGAATTACAGTCCCGACTCTTTTATCTGAGTCATGTCTGAGCAGAGGTTTGGCCACTCGGAGGAAATATCCATTTGGCAAACAGCGGACACCGAGGCAGACTTATCTGTGACGCTGATGAGTGGGTTAGGGTTTCGGCTTAACCTTGGCACAGAAAGAATGCCGGTCTACAAGCGAAGGTGATCAGCCTCACTGAGCCTGGACACATGGAAGTCAAAAGGCACAGTACTACTTTCACTTACAGCCTGACCAGTATATCAGTACAGGGTGATACTATCAGATATATTGGGGTTTATAATCGCCAAACTAATATAAACATATTTATTTTACAGAATAGCAGAAGAGTTGATGTCTGTTCATTATATGTGATTGTATTTATGTTGTTGTTGT